TGTGGGGCGGAGGGGGGGGGGGGGGAGAGGGGGGGGATTGCATGTGGTTGTTTGGGTTAACCAATAAGCCCAGGTCTATGGCTTAATTGTTTCAACATCTATACACTAACATCCCTATCACCTACTTGGTCAGAAACACCGCCTCCTGCAGTGCTTTGGGTTTTCCTTGAAGGTCTCACATTCAAATACTTACTAGCCCAACTTTGTTTAGTTTATGGGACATTTAATAATGAAAGTCCAATGACTTTATGGCTGTGATCCTGCAACTCATTCATGGGCAGACAGTTCAACCATGTACTCTGAGGACTAGGGTGAAAGTCACAATCAACTTGGAAATGTCATTAATCTGAAAACAATGTAATAAAATCCTAAAATGAAACTAACTCAAAGATGGCAGAAAAAACATTTTGTTTAAAGTTCTGTGCATTTGTCAGCATTTGTGTATTGTCACTATCACCCTGTTTCCCAGTATAATCAGTTTCTCTTTTGCTGGAAAGACTCAAATATCAAAAGGGAACTCTAGGACCCTTGTAAAACTATTTTAATTTTTTTTAAAGTTTGCGTTTAAAAACTTTTTAATTGTCAACTTGATCTATTTTATTAACATCATTTTACATGCACACAAATCTATTAATTTTAGGACTTAATTGCAGTTAATTCATGCAATTAATTCAAAATAATGATAAAGCACAATTTTAATTAGTGTTTAAAAACAGAGTATCAATTGAAATGTATTTAATATTATGGATGTTTTTCTACTTCAAGAATATTTATTTAAATCACCACACAAATACACACTGGCTACGTCTACGCTGGCATGATTTTGCGCAAGAACTCTTTTGCGGAAGAGTTCTTGTGCAAAAACTCTTCCAGAAGAGAGCGTCTACACTGGCATGTGCTTTTGCGCAGGAGATGTGCTTTTGCGCAAGAGCATCTATGCCAGTGTACTGTAGACGCTCTCTTGCGCAAGAAAGCTCTGATGGCCATTTTAACCATAGGGCTTTCTAGCGCAAGAAATTCATGTTGCCTGTCTACACTGGCCTCTTGCGCAAGAACAGTTGCGCAAAGAGGGCTTATTCCTGAGTGGGAGCATCAGAGTTCTTGCGCAAGAAGCACTGATTTCATACATTAGAACGTCAGTGTTCTTGCACAGGAACTCTCAGCCAGTGTAGACAGGCAGCAAGCAGCCGCTTTTGCGCAAGATCGCACCAATATAGACAGAGCCACTCTGTGTTAAACCTCTCTAGGTTAGCACTCCCTGGTCCAGCAACATCTGTGGTCCAGCATGATTTTAGTTAGCTGGATGTTCACTTTTCATAGGTGTGACCAAGTTTCCCATGGTTCCATAAAGTTTGTTTACAGCCATCAGTCCTGGCTCTTGGTGTTCTGTGCCTTTTATTAAGCTCTAATTTACCTCTAAAGATCTTTAGAGAGTCCAGTAAGCAGTGGAAGTGTTGGTAATGCTGCTAGACAATACTGACCTCCCATGATCCGGCAAATTCTCTGGTTTGGCACCAGTCAGGTCCCAAGGGTGCCGGACTAGAGAGGTTCAACCTGTACAGTGGCTCCTTATATTTTAATTAGAAATATTTGCACTGTAAAATGATAAACAAAAGAGTATTTTTCAATTCACTTTATACAAGCACTTTAGTGCAGTCTTTACCATGAAAGTGCAACTTACAAATGTAGCGGGGTTTTGTTGCATAATTGCGCTCAAAAGCAAAACAACTTACAAATTTAGAGTCTATTAGTCTACTCAGTCCTACTTCTTGTTCAAGAAATCACTTAGAGAATGAAGCCTGTTTACATTTATAGGAGATAATGCTGTCCACTTATTTGAAGTGTCACCTGAAGGTGGGAACAGGTGTTCCCATGGTACTTTTGTAGCGGCATTGAAAGGCATGTGTACCAGATATGCTAAATATATGTATGCCCCTTTATGCTTTAACCACCATCCCAGAGGACATAATTCAATGTTGATAATGCTCATTAGAAAAATGCATTAATTTTTGTCTTAATTCCTTGAGATATGTCTCCTGCTCTGTTTTGCCTGCATTCTGCCATATATCTCATGTTGTAACAGTTTCAGATGATGAGCCAGCATGTGTCTATTTTAAGACTGCTTTCACTGGCAGATTTCACAAAACGCAAAAAAGGTACCAATATGGCATTTCTAAAGACAGCTGCAGCACTGGAACCTATATTTAAGAATTTGACACTCCTTCCAAATTGTTAGGAGTTGTGGAGCATTGTTTCAGAAAAAGCAAAATTCTGATGAAGAAACTATACAACCCAAACTATTTCCTACCCCTGGTTTAAAATCTGCCCCATGATCTAAAAAGGTAGAAAAGGGTCATTTGACCCTTGCAGCAACATCTGTCCAAATTGAATAAGGACTTGATATAGTGTGCTGTGTGTTGCTGATCATCATGGCTATGTCTAGACTGGCATGATTTTCCGTTAAAAGCATTTGCGGAAAAGAGTGTCTAGATTGGCACGGACGCTTTTCCACAAAAGCACTTTTTGTGGAAAAGCATCCATGCCAATCTAGACGTGCTTTTCTGCAAAAAAAGCCCCGATTGCCATTTTTGTAATCGGGGCTTTTTTGCGCAAAACAAATCTGAGCTGTCTACACTGGCCCTTTTGCGCAAAAGGACTTTTGCCCGAACAGAAACAGCATAATATTTCTGCAAGAAGCACTGATTTCTGTGAAATTCAACCCAGCCAGTGTAGACAGCTGGCAAGTTTTTCCGCAAAAGCAGCTGCTTTTGCAGAAAAACGTGCCAGTCTAGACGCAGCCCATGGGAGTGTCTGTTCCACATAATACCAGAGGAGATGGAAGATATCTGTTTCTGAAGCTTCTATTCCTGCTCTCTCTGTTGCGGACCTGTTGTTCCCAAGTTCCTGATTACTGGTCAGCTGTTCCTTGTTCTTGTGTGGTGGGGTCCCTGGCCTAACACTGAAGTGGGTGGATTTTAACTTTTTAACTGTGATTAGTGGTTGTTCTTAGCAGACGGCCATAGTTGACAGATGCTAATTTAAGGGCTTGCTGCAGCTGGTCCCCGCCTCCGCTCCCGGAGCGGCGCGGCTGAGGGGTCGAGGTCCCCGTGCCTCCCGTGTGCCCCAGCTCAGCTGGCCGCGCTCCGGGCGCTGGGCG